ACGGTTTCAAAGTTCTACTATGCTGCTGCACGAAATAAGGTGTGAGCCACTGTAAGTATTGATATATATATATCAGTCAAAAAACTTCTAGATGAGCTTTGTAAAAGACCTAAATCAATTATAATAAATAAGCATTGCCCCAAAAGTTGAGATCATATGCTAAGAATATAAGTTTATTAAAAAACTAGAAACGTTTATTGCTCTCAGAAATATATATTTTAATACCTACAAATTGAATTCCAATGTCAAAGTTGCCTAAGCATGCATATACCCCCAGACGTATGTATGTATTGTTTTGTTATACATTTCATGCACACGTGCAACAAAATTTCATTAGGGCCAACAGCTGGTTATATGATTAAAATTATGACTAATAAACCTTAGGATGCGGACAGGTGCCTTATCTAAGGGCACATAAAACGGCCCAACAAGTGGGATAAAACTATTAAATAGCTTAGCGATACGCTTAGATAACTTGCTAAATAAAATTTATGAAAATCTAGGGTATATTTGTATGTGCAATAAAAGAATGTTATTTTTATCTATCGCCCAGTTAGATATGCCTCTATACAGAATTTTTTTTTTCGTTTTGTATGTCTAATTCATCTTATCTAATTGTAATTTTTATTATATTTATCAAGTTCGACGACAAAGTACCCTGTATCTCTATATCCATAAATATTAGAACTCTCTAGAAACAACAAAGTTCATCTTGTCCAGCACTTAATAAGAAATATGTAGATATGGGACGATAGAACGCAAAATATCCAAGTCTTATTTAGAGATCTATATGAGATCAGAGATTGCAGGGAATAAAATAAAAAAAAATGAACAGTTCCTTCGTTCATTCTATTCTCATTAAGCTGCAAGATCTTAATATACATACATATATACATGCATATATGTACATACTTTCATACATATGTGGGTATTTCACCACAATCAAAATAATATTTTTTTGTTTGAGAGCCCTGAAGAATTCGAGAAGGTTCTTTAGACTACGTTTCCTGCTAAAGTACAACAAAAATATATTTAAAAAATTATTCTTTTTTTAATATACTTTCAAGCCAAGATTAAATATAAGAAAAATCATTATTAAAAGAACCATAAAAAATTATGACATTTGATATTTTAATAAACATGAATATATGTATGTATTTAATCGCTATAGAGTATTTAAAATTCTCTAGTAATTGTTGAATTAATTTTTTTATGATTGATGTATGTTTTTAAGCGAACATTATTAAATTTCACATGCGCGCGGAAAAATGGGAAACTCCTTTAGTTCTGTAATTCATTTTTTTTTATTATCATCATAATTATTATCATTTTTTGCTTATTTTTTTTTTTTTTGCATTGCGTCGTCATTCGACAAAGCGATTAGCCCATGGACGGCGGCACCAAGGGGCATTGAGACAGACTTTAATGAACTAATAAATGACAAGGTCAACTTTGGCACACAATAGATAAAAACTATGTATATGTATGTATGTATCTGTTAATGTGGCTTCAGGTTTACATACATATGTATGTGTGCGTTTACTGTAAGGGGAATCAACATTCATTGCGATAGTAATCGATCGTGTCTATGCGTAACGGTTATTAGCGAGGCCAAGTGCACCACGTTCGTGTCGTGCCGTGTCGTGTCGTGTCGTGTCGTGCCGTGCTGTTCCGTTTTGTGTCGTGCCGTGCCTTGTCGTAAGTCATGGCGAGTTTGCGCTTTATTGTGCTGACTCACGATGATATTTGCGAGTCTTGTAGCACAGAGCCATAATATGCTAATTCGACAAATTCGCTAGCGCTTCGCATGCTGTTGTTGTTGTTACTCGGTTATCTATAGTTTCTGTTGTTGTTGTTGTTCATTCTTGTGGTGAAATTGTAGCTCTCACATACATACATATGTATGTGAGAGAGCGCAATCCATAGCAGATATCAATACATTGAAAGGTGCGTATGCGTATGAGTGTGTGAACTGATCTCGCCGCTCTTTCGCTCTCGCTTTCGCTCAACTTGTATTTTCTCGGCGGAGTGCCTTGAACTTCAAAGCCACAACTTACACCCGCTCGACCCCCATCTATACCTCTATCGCTCTCTCTCTCTCCCTCTCATCCACTCGCAGGTCTTAGCTAAAGCCGCAGCAATGCATAAACCCGTTTAAAAAGTAATTTACTTTTCGTTTATCACACGCGACTTGTGCATGAGTAATGGGTCAGTGACGACACAGCAGCCGTATGTATATAAATATGCGTGTGTGTGTGTGCGCGCATGCGTGTTTTGTGAAGCACTTTATCAATTAGTGATCAAGAATAACAAAAAAAAAAAAAAACAAATCACGCTGTTCTCACTTTTAAAAAACAAAGCAGACAATTTTAGCAAGTGAATGACTCCACAGAAATGTGACTGGCACTTAATTAATCGCGTACGATATACACATACATATCTATGTATGTATGTATGTAGTCAGTGATAAGTTTTCAAATTGATTAGAAAATCAAATTAGAAGCTTCTAGTCCCAAGGCCAGCAGTGACCCAACTCAATTGGATAGTATGTAAGTAGCGGCTGCACCCTTACTCACACTTACACACACACACACACACACCCACACACACACACACACACACACACACACACACACATCAATTGGTATGCACATAAATTGGTATGGAAAGCGAATGTCAAGGTTGCGCACGGCTTGAAAATTGGACAACAACGGCGAGAACATACAAAAGCAACGGTAAACGACATACATATGTATAATTTCAAACCGAAAATCAATAGAAACTCAAACCCAGTGCGAAATCACACACTTGTTCAATAAAAGAATCACCTACACTAAATGCACTTCAAATGCTTATATTCTCATCAAAACTAAGCGCAATAAACACTTACCGGCAAATGCTGTAGAAGAAGAATATCAAAAGCAGCAAACGCGTGCTTCTTTCTAATCAAAGTTGTTGATTGACTTCTGGGTTGGCTGCTGCTGTGTTATGCTACTGCTGCTGCTCAGCTGTTGCTCTCGCCTTTAGAATATAAGAAGCAATAATAAAGCCTAATAACGGCGGCGGCGGCGGCGTCAGCGTCTACGTCGGTGTCGGCTGAACAACAAAATGACCTGTTTGTTGTTGGTGCTGATGTACTCGCTCCTACTGGCTGTGCCGCTCACGCTGTCTCTGTTACTCGTGTGCGCTCACGCTGTCTCTCTGTGTGTGTGTGTAAGTGAGTGTAGGGGACCGCGTGTATGTGACCGACCGCGTGCTGATGTTTTTCACACACGTTTTAATTCTGATATATTGAATATTGTTTTTTATTTTTTTTCTTTCGTTTTTTTTTTTTTTTGCCGTTCCTTATGTTGTTATTGGTTGTGTAATCAAAGGCCAATCTCAACTGACCAGCGACAATTTGACGAGCGATGCCTTAGCTCTTTCCGACTTCTCGCTACTAATAGTTGTAATTATTGTTGTGATTTGCACGTCTGTTTCTATTGTTGTTGCGATTTATTTCAGTAGATTGTTTTGCCACGATTTCACAACTTGCTTAATAAACAAAAGAAATTCATATACAATTTCACTTAGATTAGTCTATATATATGTACATACATACATATGTATGTATAAATGTATATATGTATGTGTAAGTGTGTGAGAACAACAAATGTGCAGGCCGCGTGTTTTTTTTAAGAGGAGAGGGGGCATTTGCTTTACACTGCGTTTACTATGTAACTTCCGTTACAGCTGTGACATCAGCGTTCACTGCGTCTGCAGACTCATGCAGAATTTGAATATTTGTTAATAATAGATGCATAAGAATCTGTATTCATTTACGAACAGCACAAATGTTGCGACTGTTCCTTTCAGTTTCTATTTTGTTGTTTATGTATGCATGTATGTGTATGCGTGTGTACTGTAGGTAATTGTACATATGTATGTAAGGTTGTCTATGGCTCTCTACATTTGCATGTGTGTATGACCGAGTTGTTCTAATTAGAAGACGCTGCTGCTTAATGTGTTGTGTACTGTGTGCATGTGAGTGCGTGTTTAATGAGTGTGAGTGCGCTAGCGATCCGATTGCTTACTGCTTAATATTCTCTCTGACGATCCTTATGGAGCCGCTACCAAAAATTTCACAATTCCACTAAAATGCACACACACAATTATTTACTAGAAACTTCACTTGAAATTCAGTTGAATGGCGATATTAACGTGCTGCGTGATATTCAGCTATGTTGTTATTCGTTGTTAACTTCTAATTGCCAGCGCAATGATAGCGACACCGATATTTAACACAAAATTCCAAAAAAAAAGAAAAACAAACTAGAAAACCAGCCACTGCGCGCGGCTATTTATGTAAAAAAAAAAAGGTTGTACGCATTCAATCGGATAGTGCTGCCAGACAATGTTAATGCTCTAACACACCATGGGGTGTAAATGGCAGCGCAATCAGCTGATAGTGTTGCAAAGCGCGCGCGCTGAGGCCGAATTTCAAATACGTATGGACAGTGGTATGGATAATGTTAAATGCCAAAACACAATTTGTTTATACATATATAAATGCACATTATATGTGATTACATTTATTGTATTGTTTTGTTTATTTTAGACCTGGAGAAAAAGTACAGCTTTCGCGGTGAGCAAAGTAATCAGATTCGTGGCAGTCGCCATGCCCAGTATTTCACCCATATCCTCGTCCAATGTAACTAAATGTTGCTTGCCAATCATCACCTGCGGCCCGTAGCGATTGCGCAATCCTCCGGCGGATTCGTTATGCGGCTTATAAATGTACACATGGCGCTGAGCCTCCGCAATTACAGCAAATTCTAGATCGGGACAGCAGTCAGTGAATTTGCGCTGCTGCTTGGAGGCCTGCACATAGCCAAAAGCATGTAAATTGCCTTCGTGGCGGACCTTCCAATCTGATGGATTGACTGGCTGGTAGGACTGTAGCCAGAGGGCGGCGTCCACGCCCTCGCGTGTAGCGAACGCTGCAGGATACCCAGCACGCAGCGTGGTGGTAAACAGCGGCGGACTATACCCCAATGAAATTTTGTGTGTAATTTCGGAATCGGTGATATTAAAGCGAACTGAAAAGAAATTTGGAGAGCATTAGGCAAAAAATAATGTGTTCCATATGCTTGTGCTTGCCCATATGGATCTCCTCTTCGTCTGTGGCCATAGCAAGGTCGCATTCCTCAAGGGGCTCCTCCAAATTTGGTATTGGCAGACGTTCTGGCTCAGCTTCTGATGATTCTGGCTCTTCCTCGACTCCCTCCTCAAAGGGATCATCCTCATCCGCGTCCTCATCCTCAGACAGAATCAGTTGCGGCCATATACCAGGTTTCTCTTTGACCATCTTTAGCATCGCTCTATCATCTTCCAAGCGAATGCTGGTGAGGTCATCACGGACTCTCGCATAGAGTGAGCCACTCAGCAGCGTCTGCCCATACAACTTTAATTTCACGGTGGTGGGGCTGCTGCTGAACTCGTAATCTTCCAGGCTGATGAACGCGGGCTCAAAGAGTCTTACGACGATATCGTTTTCTGTCTGGGTCCAGAAATATTCGGAAAAAGAAAATTTATCTATCTCCTCTAGGGCGTCCGTGCGGGTCGCTGCTGTCGTTTTAAGTTGCCCATTGCTGCAAACTATGATGGATTCAGAGCGTGGTTCAAAAGCACAGTAATAAACCCCGCCTGTGATCTGTAGTTCCTCACGTTGAAAATATTTCCAGACGGCCGCCTTCTGATTTTCCAGCGCCCAGTACGACCAAGTAAGCAGCACCACATACCGGTCCATCGACTTCGAGCGCGTCAAATGCCCGGAAACCAGAGAGATTCGCTTGCGCTCCTGCATAATGTCTAGCCTGGCATCGTACAGCACAAAGCCACGGAACTCGGTGTTATCCGTTACACGCGCCTGGGTCACTAAACGCCAATCTGTGTGCCGCCTGCGATCGCCCGTCTCGAGCAGAAAGTAGTTGAGCTTGCCGTCGCACAGCACACAATACTTCTCGGAGATAAAACGTAAAGTATAGTTATAGTCTCCAGGTTTGTAATGGCCATCTACGTTATCCTCGAACTGCATTTTGTAAACGACCAGCGGCTCGCGTGCCTTGCCGCGTATCTCGTCATACGAGCAGTAGACCACCTCATGGTTTGTATTTACGAAATAGGTATTGCTTCGGGACCAGGGATCGGAGAAAAGCAAATTGTGCCTGGCGAACAATTCGGTATGCAGCCGCGAATATTCACTTTCGTGCATCTCGTATTTCAAAGGCTTGTCTTCGATGTCTTGGCGCACGATCGGCACCGGATCGAAGCTGAGCTTGTAGCCATCGAAATTGTGACACAACAGATTGCGATCGACCTTAAGGTCCACCACAGTCGCCATTGCGAATTAATAAACTCCTTCCGTCGAGATGATTTCTGAGAAAACAAAACTTAGATTGAATTTGAAGTTTCAATTTTACAGCGGTGCTGTAAAGTTATAGACAATATTGTCTGTTATGATATGACAATATTCTCTGTTTATGGTATGTTAGCATGCTGTTCGATTAACTCATTTGTGCCAGCATGACATTTAATACTCTATTGTATGTGTTAAGAAAGTTTTGATTGGTAGAGCTAATAAGTGGGCTGATATTATTGATATTATTATGGGATTGCACATATTTATCGTTTACATTTTGAAGAAAGTTTTAATTGATATTTGATATTTGATATTATGATACTATTGATGATGCCAAACCAAAAATGTACGTAACTGACAAAAATTACATAAATAAAAGTTGCTTTCGATTGAAACTCTACTATCAATTATTTTTTACGATTAATATATTATATAATAATCTGATAATATAATTATATAATAATCTGATAATCATCGGAACTATCAGATAGCTGAAGCTACATTTTAAACAAGTCTAGAGTCATCCCAGCATAACCACTGACTAGCCAAGGCATACGTGTTCTTTGCAACTCTGCTTACACAGTGTTGCACAATGAGAACACAAAAAAAGTGTTGACACGTTGACAGAACATTTGGTTCGTGTCTTACGAAGAATTAATTACAATTATTTTAGTATTGGCATATTTAGTTAACCACCGAGGCGCAAGTCAGGCGAAAAAAACTGCTGCAATAACGTTAGAAACAGGTAAGCAGAGCAGCGCATTCCGCACAATTAACTAGAATTGTAATAATTCAATTTTTCCTATGCATATGTGTGTGTCTGTGCGTGCGGACGTGTTTTGCAGTTTAAATTGGGCAAAAAAGCCGAAACCGAAGATTCCCGCGAACGCCCGGAAAACTTACGTCTTAAGTCAGCTGCTGTGTGGCAGCAAAACCTTCATTTAGTTATTAACCAGCTGCAAACCAAATAGAGGAAGATATATAGTAAGGATGCGAAACGAGCAGCTGAACAGCCAAAGGAACGACACCAGCATCAGCAAGAGCAAAAATAACAAAAACTTAACTTCAATGCTGTGGCTGTCGCTGGTAGCACTGATGGCTCTGCTGCAGGGCAGCGCAGCAGTGGAGTTCACGTTCGATTTGGCGGACAATGCCGAGGATTGCTTCTACGAGGAGATCAAACGCAATACGAGCGCATATTTCGAATTTCAGGTATCGGCTGGCGGCCAGCAGGATGTGGATGTGACACTGAAGGATCCACAGAATAAGATTATCTATTCGCTGGAGCGCGCGACTTTCGATAGCCATCAGTTTACGGCCGAGATAACTGGCGTTTATACGGCCTGTTTTAGCAATAAATTCTCTGCGTTCTCGCACAAAATCGTCTACGTGGACTTTCAGGTAGGTGACGAGCCGTCCCTGCCTGGCGTTGACGAGCACGCCACGGTGCTAACCCAAATGGAGACGTCGGCTCAGGCAATACACAAAGCACTTAACGACATACTCGACGCCCAGACGCACCATCGCCTAAGAGAGGCCCAAGGACGTAAACGCGCTGAGGACATCAATCAGCGTGTCATGGTCTGGGCTTCCTTGGAAACGGCGAGCGTCATCCTGATCGGCCTCGTCCAAATCCTAGTGTTGCGCAACTTCTTCACAGATCGCAAGCCCAGCCAGGCGCGTTATGGACGCCTCTAAGGGTAACACTCGAGGCAGCTGGAGCAGCGAAACTATCTCTAACATAATACACACATACACACGAACACACACACACACATTTATACATAAATATAAATACATATATTAAATTTTTTTTTTTAATCGTAATTTTATTAAAATTGTTTTCACGCCAAAAAACCCTCACATGTATTCCAAAAGCTTGGCGCCGCACGCCCCATACACATTAAAAAAGAGAATGTTTTTCTTAAAAAAAAAGCTACAACAAAACTCTTAATTGAAAATTGCGAATCAGAAGAATATTTGTATGTAAAAATTGTTTTGTGTTTTGGAGACTTGTGCAATGCCTGAAGACGAGTGTGGAGAATGGCGCCATAAAAGGTTGTTATTAACGCTCGCCATAAATTATGTACGCTTGTTATGGCACATGGGCAGGATGCCCCACGCTCTTGTTGTTGTTGTTCCCGTCTCGCCTTGCAGGAAGCGGCTAGAGATTACCTAATAGGCGGAAGCCAAAAGATTCACTGTGAGAGACAGGGATGGCATACATATGAAGTTATTGCTGTTGCCGTGGCATTTTGCACCGAAATCATCAAATTTCGATCAAAATTATTATTACAGTTCGGACAAACTGCCACAGGGCCAGACGGCGAACGGTATTCACATAAATAAAGAAAATAAAAATAAGAAACAATACAATAGTACAACAACTGTATCAACAAGAGCGTCAGAGCAGTAGAGTAAGCATACACTCACTCACTCACACACACACTCACGCGCGCATACACTGCAGCGTGCACTGTTAGCTTAGCTGGGCTCAGCTGAGCGACGGCGAATTCGTCGCGGCAATTTCGTCTTCGGGCTCATAGTTCAGCCGTCGCGATTTCTGCTAGCGAAGAGCGAGTGCAAAGCGCGAGGGTATGCACGACTGAAAGTTGAACTTTATGGGTTATTAAATAGTTAGCTTGAGTATTTTATAAACTGTTTATTTTTCAGTTTCAATTTCACGGTGAATATAATAAATTGTATATGATGTATATTTGTGCCATCAATGGCCATCTTTGACAACGCAAGCTATACACTCTTAAGTCAGCGATGTGTACAGGGTATTTATAAACAAACACAATAGAAAACACGTTTTGTTTCAACTTCGATGACAGTGTTCATTTAAATGAGCCACAATTTGTGCTGCAACAGCAATTTGAGCGACGCTGCCTGACCTGCTGCTCCACTACACTACAGAGCAACAACAGCAGCTGCCGCTCACTTGCCACACACACACACACACACACATGGATACGGGCATGCTACATAGGTCGAGGTTGTCGCGATTTTGGATGATGCTTCCTCGTTGGCAGCTTTTAAAATGCACTGAAATAAGAGAGACCATTCGCCTCATCGCGATCCAGGTGCTCTAGCTGGCGCATACCCTGGAATTATGAAATAAGTGGGTTTTTATCATTCATTAGATATGCTGAAGAGAATTCATTTAACATCGATATCTATCGAGCGTTGGAGTGTTTTATCATCTTATATGATCGATAAAGATATGATGAACTCGATAACTTCTAGCTCGATAAATTCTAATAAATCATTTGTATGAGATATGCGCCCTAAAAGTATATGCCTACCTTCTACCAATATTTATTTTTACATTTTTTACGATTTGTTATGTTCGGGATGGATATGTATATGATTTCTGACCAATCCTTAGAAAGAGTTTAGTGTAATGTAATTTTAAGTTTTAGGCTTGGCATTAAAAACTGTGAAAATTACATGTTTTCGATTTCGGTACGACACACCCCTAAATGGGCGCGCATCATCAGTGGAGGTTTTTGGCTTTAGGAGACTAGAAGATACAGATTTCTACTGTTTGCCATGATCTCTTCGACTATATCCCTTAGCCAATTCCAAATTGTAAATCCTTAGCATCTTAGGTTATAGTATTTCTCTTCTAGCATATATAGTATCTAATATTTGCTACGTGAATTGTAGGGGGAAGATCGTATGATGTGTGAACATAACTTTTAAAGACGATATGTATATATATGATCAAAATTTCAAGCTTTCTAGTTTCAGTAGTAGACGGACAAGATGAAAATATAATATGTATAAATTATAATGTTCATAATCAATTTAATAATTTGACTTTATCAACAGATATAATTAAATTAGACCTTTACCACAGTGATACAAAATAGGTTTACATATATAGCCGTTCCATTTGAACTTGGGATCCATAGAGTAGTTCGTTGCTTTAACTGAAATATATGTATGCCATGTGTTCAAACAAAGTGGCAGCTATGATATTTATGATATTGCCCATATATCTTTTGCGTTTGTAACTCTGTCGCTATGACTATGTATGTCTGTGGCTCTTACTCCCAGCTATTTTTGACAAACTATCCACTATATCAGCATGAGAAACGCGCTGCCATTGACTGTTGCCATGTGAGAGACGGCGCTGAGGCAATCGTTTTAACTGCTGTTTTTCTTTATGCTATTCAATCTCTCTATGTGGATATACATATATATATATATATATATATATATAATATATGTATGTATATACGTATAGCATCTGCTTGAGCTTCGTTTCAGTTCAATGAGTTGCAACTGGCATTAGGAGTTGTGGGATGACTCTCATCGCTGTGCGCTGCACTCCATTTGGCTTTGGCTGCAATTTGAGGTTTTCCGACGCTTTTCAGTTTTGCCATTTCTATTTGCCCCCCGCCCCCGCGCTGTCGCACGTGTGTTGTGTAAGTGGCGACTGATTGCAGCTTTATGATTGCATTTTATTTCGCTGACAATTTCCATTTTGCAATTCGCTGCGTGCGTAAGCAGCGGCTGAGTGGGGGTGGGGGTGGAGGCTATGAAGGGGGATACGAGTTATAGCTTAGCTTGGCTTTATCGTCATTTCATTTGTATTTTGTTGAGAGACAAAAGCATGCGCAACATTTAGCCATTCAATGGGCCCGTAGTTCGTTAGCTTTTCAGTTAGTTAATTTCCCTGGTATTTTCATAAAAAGCCCCGACCCCAAAGGCATATCTTATCAGCAGTAAAGGTGTGCCTTATCATAGTTGTGGCACTTGTCTCAGGTGCTTTTACTATATTGAATATGTACTTCACACTCGCTTCTCCTCCGAGTAACGGTAATTGCAATTGTTTAGTTGAAAATTTATGTTTTCAAAAATTGTTATTGGCTTTTTTATTTTTTAATAAATATAATTCACCCAATTGAAAAATGGTTGTATTGAATATTTGTTAATTTAAATATGATAAAATATATAGTAAATATATAGTAAGAGTAGAGTAATAAATTGGGCTATATTTTCAGGGGTTTTTTGTATGAAGTTACCTCTTTTAGTAACCGTAAAAATTAATCGTGTGAGTCCCATATTATAATAAAACCGCCTCACTTCTAGGTAGAGCTAGACAGAGCTGTTTTTTGCACTGACTTGCAGTGCATTTCAACCAACTTTCCACTTAATACCAATAATTCGTGAATAAAACGGAATGGATCACAACACTTAGATCAGATTGGAGTCCAGTTAAATGGAAATATTACAAAATAGGCATACAAAACAAAAATAAATTAAGTAGTCTAGATTGAAATTTGATTTACATACATATATGTAGGGCCGTATTGACCCTCAGGTAACCCCATCAATTGAGGGTCACCTGTTTTCACGTTCGTTCCCTCATTTTTTCGATTTTAAAGGAATCTTTCATTCCTCGGGGCCCTACATTTACATATGTATTCTGGCAGATAAGTGCACTCACTGGCTTATCACTTCACTCAGTTAAAACATAGAGCTAAGTCTAAGGGAATAATAAGGAATGATAATAACGAACTCAGAACTCATTACACTTATTATTTGAATTCGCTAGCACGTAATACTTATAGAAGTAAAATGAAAAACTAAAATAAGATTATTTAATTACACTTTATATTTATTTCTTTTAATTAAATAGTTTTCTTTAAGGAATGTATATACCTTTGCCAAGTTCCGTATAGAAGAAGATAAGGAAAGTCAGCACTGCATTGGAAAAGTACAGCATGGCATCGAAGAAGATAAGATCATAGAGCATAAGAGAAGGTAGGAGTATAAAATATTATGGGGAAGAAAAGTGGGAATTGAAAAGAAGAATGCCTAGGGCAAAGTCACGAAAATTGAAGAGCACATAAAAATAAATAGAAGTGAACAGAAAGAAATTGATTAGTTTAGAGAATATAAGAGAATTTAGGGCAAGCAATAAATGAATTAAAAAGAAGTGGGCAATGGGGAGAAAAGGAAAAAGCAGAATGAAAGGGAGTAGAAACATTAAAGCAAGAGTAAAAAGCTATATTATCTACTTAAAAGCTATATTAATATTAATATTATATATGGAGATATTTATGGTTATTTATGTACATATATTTCTGACAAATTTGGAGGTGTTAAGTCAAGATCCTATCCTGTAGGTCTTGAGGGTGGTGGCGTTTCAGTCTTCTCCTTATATTTCTACGGTGGTTGACTGCAGAGCCTAGTCTCAAGGCAGTGTCAGAAAGTAGTAAAAGTCGAAAACTTCAAAAAGATCAGGCTAGAAATAATCAAGCCATCCTTTTGTGGAAACCGAGCGTATACGTAATATTTGCACAGTCTTTAGCCATTATTATATTATATCATTTACGTTTATTAATTATATTTCATATTATATATTTATATTATATTTTACATATCACATTTTATAGCTGTACAGAAAGCTATAAATATTTATGAAATTATGCACAAATATGCAGTGCTAAAAGTCTTGAACATGCACTTCTAACGATGTCGAATCTATATATTTATATAATAATTATTATATACTTGCAAGTAATTAACTAACTTTATCTGAGTTCAAGCTGCTCTTCATCTTGATGGAGCTGCGAGCTGAGCCTCAGGGCGTATGAGCAATGCGTCAGTTATAGTGAAGGCGTATGCGTGTGGATGGCGTCATCAATCAGCACACACACACACACACACACTAACACACACTCTAACACACACATACGTGGTGGTCGCACTGAAAGTGCTTTTATTGCAAATT